TCTTAAAAGAGTGTAGAGAAAGCTTTATTTGCTGTTCACCTTTCAAGCCTACTATATAGAACTTCGTCGACAAAAGTATTGCTACTTTTTCAAAATTTCTTATACAAGGGCACCATCTCCTGCCAGTTATCTTGTATAAAGACGCTTTTGTTTGCATGTCGAATATACCCAGGAGTCCCCAAGAGACCCAGAGACGAACATACTCTTGGTTGACCTTTGTAAAAACTATTACTTTATAGTGCTTCTTTGACTAACTCCAGCAAATTTCCGTTTTTCGTTTGTAAGAAAATTGGGTACAAGTGATCGTCAGGCAGAGTTGCTTCTGAAAATAATATATATAATTATTTTAGTATTTATATCATATTTACTTATGCTTTATTTAAATTTATTGATATTAAAACAAGGAAATTAATTCATGTATGAAGGTGTGCGATTTAGTGTAGTGGTTAGGTTGTCACCCTCACCAAGTAGCAGGTTAAGAGTTTGAAACCCACCGACGGTAAAAATTCGAATAATTACCTGTGTTATGGCAACCGTCTTCTGTCGATCAGTTGGGATAGGATACCTGTAACTATGGTCACACCAGCATGACTGGCAGGACTGGGTATCTGTACAACCTTGAGTTACATAGAGGAATGCAAACTGGCAATGGGCGGTGCAAACACTCGATAAGTCCCTAGGTCACATAAATCTGTAGGACTAGGAGGACAGGAGCCTATTTGGGAAGACCCAAGTGAAGAGATAGCACAAATCTTTGATGGTACTACTGTAAAGGCTAGATCTAGGAAAAGGAAACCAAAGTAGAAGAACCAAACAGGGCACGATCAGTTTGTGGTAAAGCTGATTCACCAACTAGGCTACCGGGTTAACCAGAGGAAAAGGTCATGGCAGAGCCGATGAACCAAGAACAGGTTACAGTCCTTCTAGGCCATCTGGATTGGTAGTCTAGAACTAAAGCAGAGAGAAACCAAAGTACTGGGAATATGCTGTGAAGTGGGTACCGGGGTTTGGATGAACTTTGCAAGAGCATAGCCCTGTTGATAGGACCATAAAATAGGTAGATTGTTGACAGAGGAGCACCCTGAGCCTTGCTACTGGGTGACAATACTTATTAAATTGGGTATGGTCTGGGTTTCTAGCACAGAAAGGGAAACTAAATGTCAAGTTAGATGGCACCTTGGTGTATGGAAACTTATGAGGCTAATTGCAGAGTGAGTACAGAAGATTAGAGGGTTTAAATAGACAATCTCCTAGCAGGTTGCAGGTATGGAAGCTAGTGTAGAACCTTCGGGCGGACTACTTAAATAGGCAACCAAAAGTTGTATGTGTGGCTAGTTGTACACTCATCAATGTACCAAAAAATATTTGTAAATAAACATATAAAAACACAATAAAGCGTTAGTACCTGTGACATTGGTTTAAAATAAAAAAAATAAAAAAAAAATTCATGTATGATATATACATACCCAGTATTATTTTTTCTTAAATTTTGTAAAATTAAAACTTGTTAGTTCATTTTTTTCTTAAACTTTGAATTAAAAATATGCATATAGGCTATGTGCTTATATACTTTACTTATCTATTATTTATATTTAATATACTATTATCTTTAATAAAAAAAAAAAAATAAAAAAAAAAAAAAAATTAACACTCAATTTAATATACATTTTCTTTGTAATATATATATTTTTTTGTAATACTAGTTAATAGCATGGAATATGATATTTACTTCAGTAATGATGATACAAATAATGATATTTTAATGGCCTTAGCAGAACTAGATGATATATTTTTTGTTAAAAATTCAAGTTCTGAAAGTGATCAAAATATATCAGATGATAAAATTAAATTTAAATCAAATGATAATAAAAACTTTAATGATAATTCTAATACAACATATTTAAGTAACTTTGAATATATAGATAATCCTAATAATTATATTGAAGATAAAGTTTACGATGATCTAAAGTTAAAAGCAAGAGAACTTTTTAAAAAAGGAAAATGCACATGTTGTTCTAAATATTTAGAAAAAATTAAATTTAAACAGTTTCTTGTATGTCAAATAGAGTTTGAAAGTTTAGATAAAAATATCTATAACATGGCTATTAAAGACCAGCTTATAGCTTTTCAAAAGAATGAGAATACAAATAAAGTTACTGTGTCTGATAGAAAATACATATGATTTAATTATTATTATAATAATAGTCTTTTAATTTGTTATACTATATATGAGGTTCTTGTTGGAGTTAGCCATAATTATATAGATAGTATGATACAGTATTTAAAAAAACATGAACTTGAAGAACATATTCACAGTAATACTAGTAAAAGTTCAAAAAATATGAAACATTGTATTGAAATAAATTATGATATGTCACGTGAAATATATATATTTTTAAAAAATTATAGTAATGTACATAGTATACCTTCTCCTGGGTAGCATTTTAATAGGATTTCTATACTAGTTATATTTCTTTTAACAAGTTATAGTTATGCTTCAATGTATCGTGATTACATACAAGTATTTAAAGTTGAGCATAAAAATAAAACATGTATTATAGCAGAATTAACATTTACTAAACTTTGAAAAACTTTAATACCATCACTACAATTTATATTACCAAAATTAGATTTGTGTGAGGTTTGTAAAACAATAAAATTAGAAATTCAGTATACTACTAAATATAAAAAAAAAATAAAAATTACAGAGAATTATTTAAAACATTTAAATCAAGCAAAGCAAGAGCGTGATTACTATAATGCTAATATTAAACTTGCAATTGATAATAGTAATCAGAATTCAAATAATATAAGTAAAACTAAACAACAATTTAAATCTTTTGAAGGCTATGCATATATAGCATATGATTGGGCCCAAAATTTATTAGTTCTCTACTCACCTCAACAAATCAGATCCTTATTTTTTAAAAGCCCTAAAAAGGTGTATTTATTTGGAGTTTGCAATATTGGTAATTATCTATATACAGAACAAACTAATTATACAATCAATGAAACTGAAATGCCCAATAATGGTAAACAAGGAAAAGGCATTAACTGTACATTAAGTTTAGTATAGCATGCAATTCAGAAGTATAATTGAGGTAAAAAAAAATTAATTATCATGTGCAATAACTGTACAGGACAAAACAAAAATAATTATTCTTTATTTTTTTATTTATGATTAATTGATCATGGAATATATGATGAAATTGAGTTAAATTTTATGATACCCGGCTATACCAAGTTTATTTGTAATAGCTATTTTGGGTTAATTAAAATACTTTATTGAAAGAGTAAAGTTAATACAGTAGATAATGTAATTTTGATTATTAATCGTTCAACACTAGTTAAACTTAATACTGCCCAATGTTATTTAAATAGATATGGCTTTTAATACTATAATTTTAAAGCGCATTTTCAAAATTTTAAAAAATTATCAAATATTCAAAGTTATCAACATTTCTATTTTACTTCTTAGCACCCCAGAGTAATTTTTTATAAAGATAAAATTGAAGATAATTATAAAAATACTACAATTTGATTATTTTTTTTTTATTCAAATATTTTCTTTCCAATTATTAATATTAAATTACTTTCTTTGAAAAGACATGAGGAGTTGTATAAAGAAATTTCACCATATGTTGATTTACTATTTAAAGAAATTACTTGCCCTAAACCAAATAAATCTGAGTCAAATTAAATAATATATACATACATGTATGATAATAATAGCTAAATAAATTAATAGAATATTGTGATAATATCTTATAATAATTAATTAAAACTGATTAATTTTATATTATTAATTCATTTTACTAAAACAAATCAAATAATATAATTTTAGTCAGAAGTTTTGTAAAAATATATTTGCTTAATCTTTTTATTTAAGATTTTTTTTAAAAAAATAATTGTAATAATTAAACCAAGAATTTCGTATTATATAAATCATTAAAATCATTAAATAAAGGTGTTCACAGTATCAAATTTTATATATATTTAATTTTAATAAAATTTATAAGACTTTTTATTACTTGACCTTTATATTATCTATTATTAAAATATAAGATTTTTAAGTAAAAATTATCATTTTATTAAATTAGCCATATTTAACAATTCGGTGATTAAAATCTAGTAATTTTTATATTATTTGATTCGTTATATCAAAACAAATTGAATGGTATAAAAATTATTAGATTCTGATCATTAGATTATGAGATATTATCAATTTATCATTAAAATCGCTATTTAAATAATAATTAACTTTAAATACGATTTATACAAAATTTTGAAATTCGCCGATTCTTCTATTTTGCTGTGGGAGTCCTATTTGTCTATCCCTTACTTCCAACCTCATGGGCAGACATTCGTATGATTGGTTAATTTTTGTAGATCTATCCGTGATTTCCCGTGATCATTAACCAATCAAAATACATAATTTTTAATTATACTACAGTACTAGAAAACGAAAAAACCTCGCGAAACTTACAAACTAATAAATATATGCAAAAGAATTTATTATTTAGTTTTAGAGAAAGAGAATAGATAGGTACATGTAAAGTGGGTAAATGTGATATTTATTACTAATAAACCCAAACTCATTAAAGAATCTATACAAGAATATAAACCAAAATTTAACTATTAATTAACGGCTAACAAATCCAAACACACTACAAGAACCAACAAATTTAAGCATTAAGCCTGGAGCTTCTACTACTAAGAGCCTGTACCCATTCAAATTAAACAGTTGTAAATAAAAGTTTATTTAAATCTAACGTAATAAAATAGGTTTATACGAAAAACGTCTCCAGTTACCTTCACTCTACTGTATAATTTCACACGCCCAATAGACGGCAATATATTTTGTCTTCTAAGTAAAGTTTACAAGAAGTGAGAACTTTTTGAGATTCTTTTGCACAGTGAATATTAACATTCGTTTAAAGCTTGGGAGTGGCTTTTGTGGTGATTTTTTATTAGTGAAACGTTACATTATCAAAAAGTACTTTAAAGTGTATAAATAAGTTACCCGGTAGTTACCCGGGCAATTGATTTACATTAGCCAATCAAACGAATGTCTGACCATGACTTCCAACCAGTAACCTGGAAGATTTGATCTTGGCTTGGCTTTAGATACCAGTACACTTGTTTCATCTTGGTATATGATTTCCTAGCATATGTTCTTTTTTTCTAATTCAGTAGGCTGGTCTTTTAAATATGCCTGGCATTTTTCAGTTAGTCACCTGACTTCTATAGCCTCTGGTCTTGGTAGATAGAGCCTCTACCACTGGTTTTCTATGCTGGTTGGCCAGAGTTGGTATACTCTATAATGTCTTACAAAATTTTAACTTTCTAAATTAGCAGTCAGATTAGTAAATTCCTCTACTAAAGGATCTTGTTGTCATTCGGTTCTCCAATCTTGGTTCTAATTTTCAAATTCAAGTCTTTCTTGTAGTACTATCAAAAATTGTAGCTACTTCTTACTCAAGTTTTTTCAAACAATAGTGATAGGAACTCTTTTCTGTAGATCCCAAAATTATAAGTAAACAAAACAAAACAACAAAATTTTACAATGAATATAGAGTAAAAATCTAAATAACTGCTCTTTAGTGCCTAGAATACTACATACTACAACTCAATAATAGTTCTAAGGCTGAAAAGAGACAGAAATATTCTCCTTACCACTCCTGAAGCTTTCGAACCCTTCTTTATTCCTGCTACTACATCCAATACACCTCTGATGGATCCCTCTGGAATCTCAGACAAACAAAACAACAGCAATATAACAACCAATACACCTAATAACCCTCCACTGCTAAAGAAGAAAAAAACTATAGAAAATAAAAGCAAAAGCAACAACACCAACTCAAACACCTATTCTCGGCCTTTAGTAGTTAATACAACTCAACCGCATCTTCAAAGTGGGCAATCTAGCAAACCTCCATCAAAAATAGCTATGATATCATCCCATCAAAACAAACAAACGTGAGAAACAAACAAACAAGCGTGGGAAAATACCAAAACTTACAACCCAAAGTGGATATCAATGCACATACCCCTGCACCCCAACCGATGATTATCACGACAGATCAACAAAACAACCCTGATCCATTTCCCGATCTAACCTAGTCCAACCTCTGGAACCCAGAACCTTCCCTAACAACAAACAAGGAACCTACAAGATATACCCAACCTAACAAATATTTAGACGAAACAATGGATACCCAATCGAATGCAACAATTGAATCACTAACCCCTTCAAAAAAATCTTATAGCAAAGCACTTACTTCTAACCTCCCTAAAAACAATAATAAAGATGACCGCTCACTCACCTGGTGTAACTCTGTAACGATCGCATTAGCCAAAGCTCGCTCTACTAACTTTGACTCGGAAACTTGGAATAACAACACCATTATTAACACATTCTTATCATCTGAGTTACTTCTTCAATTTTTTCAACATAAAATTCAAACCAATCCAACTCAATACAATATACCATACGCAATTAATAAAAAATTCACCTATTTGGACTCTGCATTCTTTCGATCTTTCTCAAGAAACAAAGAGACCCAACCACAACATTAAAAAGAATTTAACTCCCTTCTGCAGATTGCAATAGAAAAATACAAAAGACTACACAATGCCCGCTTTATTAACAAATTCAACAGAGACCAAATTTTTACCAAGCTCAAAGCAAAACTTGCCCTAGATTTCATTTGCAACACAGTCTTCTTAACAAATAGCCCTCACATTTGTACCTGTATCATCACTTACTGTCTCAATTTTGCCCAAATTTCTTGCTCACTCTCTTTCAAAGATCTCTGCAGTTTGCTTAACAAAGCACACACACTGCTTCTAGTTCCTCTTCCCGAAAACCCACCTGAAATACATCAACAGATTCAACAGATACTTCCTTTTTCTCTTCCAATTCAGGATAGAAAATTTACTAGAGCTACAGTACTTGCTTTATGGAAAATATTTACGTTCAAAAAACTCCCAGATACATATTTCTCTACGGTTTTTGAACCTCTTCCATCTGATCCAACAAATCTCAACCCTGAGATTCATGATCTTTTTCCTATCACTGAAAGATCAGCATTACCCCACCTTGCAGAATACCGAAGAAAACTAGCAAAATATTATATTGTAGAAAGAATTCCTCTCAACTACTTCAACTTGCCTAAAGCTTGACCAGAACTACCCTCAACACCCCAAAACCTCAATTCCACAGTCCGTCATTTGTTTTCCTGCAACCTAGTAGATGCTTCAGAATTTCATAGATTTGTTGATATCCTAAGAGAACACTACAACTTTAAACATATTCTTAATGACTATTTTATATAGAAGAAACCCTTTCTATCTGATCCTTATTCTATTAAAATGACTGGAACCTATACTTTCCCTATCTCTGATACTCATTTAGCTAAAGAATTCGTTGCAGAAATCCAAAGCAAATACAAATTCAATATCCCCCTTCCTCTTCACTACATTTCTGCTAATCCTACAAACAAACCCCCACTACTAGCCGATTCGAAACTTATTACCAAAATCAACTTAATTTTACCAATTAATAGCCCTAAGGCCTTAGTTGACATGGCATATCAACTAAGAGAATTTTACTTTTTTCACCAGATCCTCTTAGATTGGATTGAAATTAACATCACACCTGATCCTTCGACCAAACCACCTCTCCCACTACAACTGTCTGAAGTCATATCCTATTTGGAGCAAACTAACTTAATTCACACAATTCAAATCTCTATCACACAACACAACCATATCGAACAAACTATTGCTGATTTGAAAGACCACTTTAATTTCCAAGGTGTATCACTATACCTACTCAACCTTCCCAACTTACCTGACCCCCACTAGAACATTCTTGACAACTACTCACCTTAATTATGAGTGATAATCTTGATATCAATACTCACTCCACACACACTACAAACAACCCATCTAATCCTATTTCTATTTCTACTTTACCTACATTACCCTCAACTGTTACTAGAGATAATTCTTTTTTCTTAACTCTTCACTCTCTAATGAAAGCCCACTTCTAAACACTAGTCTTAATATTCATAATTATCTTAACATAGCTATACATAACGCCCAAGGTCTTACCGACTTGCTTAAACTCCAAATTTGGCTAGAATTTTGTGCAAAAAACAATTACCACATTATTTCAATAACCAAAACAAAACTAAAGAACTCAGCCTTGGCATCCCTTTCTAATCCATATTACAAGATCTACACTTCAAACTTTGTTCCAAAAAACAAAACTTAGTGAAAAGCAAGTCTAGGCACTGCAATCGCACTACATAAGGCCCTACAACCCTTTATTCACAACATACAAACCTTTCCAGGCACAGCAATATGCATTGACTTCCACCTCTCTTCGAACAACAAACTCCACCTAATATCTCTTTACCTACCCTCAAACCATTCTGAACAATCTACATCAACACAAAATACAATTGCAAATTGGTTACTAAAAGCTAAACACAGAAGATAGCATACAATCACCCTCGGTGACTTCAATGATAACTCAACACATTGCAAAAGAGCTTTAAAATTATTTTCTACTCTACAATCTTTATTTTCTGCAAGCCTTCTTGATTTCTTTTCTATTACAGAACCTACCTGAAAATGAGGATCTCAACAAAGCCAAATCGACAACATATGAGTTAATCCTGAAATCTTTTTAAACTTCAGCCCACTATTATTAATCGATCTAACTGATATCACAGACAGTGATTACAAA